AAATAAATTAATTTTTATAATAATATTATTAATATTTAATTAAATTTAAAAAATATTTATATATATAATATCTGATTTTTGAACATTAAAATTTGAAATCTGAATTTTGAATTTGGATTTTGAAAAATCGGGTTACCTGTAATTACCACTAAAATGTATGGTTGAAAAGTTGAGGAACCATAAAATATAGAATTAGTCTAAATGTATACAATCCAATACAAAATGGATTACACTCCCCTCACATGAAGGGGGCCCACATACAATAAAATATTCGTGGGCCCCCTCTATGTGAGGAGGGTGTAATCCATTAGGTAATGGATTTGATGTACATCTAGCACAATTCCAAAATATATAGTTGAAATGAATTGTTGACTTTGAGTTAAATTAAAATCGTATCGATTATCTACTTAAATTAAATTAAAAGTTGAGGAACCATAAAACATTCGTTGATTATCTACTTGTTTTGTCATAACACGTAAATTTCTAATCGTATCGATTGAACTGTTTTGTCAAATTTAATTTGGGATGTGTTTTTTATATCCGAGAAAAATTATTTTAAAATTCACTAACTTCAAAATGTATATGTTATTTAATACTATATTAACATTAAACTATTATAATTTATTGAATAATCATATTTTTTAAATAAAATATTCTCAAAAAATATTTTCAAAATGCCAAAGTAAACGCGTTTTCCATTTTTATGTTTTAAAAAAAAAACTTCAAAATGACAAAAAGAACGCATTTTCAATAATTTCAAAACAGACAATCAAAACACAAAATACAAAATAAATTCAAAACTCGAAACTGAAATACGAAGAAAACAGCCCCTGATTTCTTTAAGCTCCAGTTTTAGCACAAGAAGCAGATCTCACCTGGACCCACCCTATTTTATCCATTGGACTAAACATTTGATCAAGAACAAGTTATGATAGGCTAGGTTTCCGGAGGTCATTCATAAAATGTATCAAAACTTAGCAAGGTCATGTGAAAAAAATGGTTGAGACCGTATTTTCACAAGCTAATTTTTATTTTCAAGGTGGAAGATAAACATAGCCCACCTACAAGATTTTTCATTTCAAATGCTTTCTTTCTACCTCATTTTTTCCCTAGTTGTCTTATTTACCTTGCTAAAAAGGGCCCATTTCTCTTTCTCCTCCTCTTCCTCAACCTCACTGCCACCCTCAATCACCCTCTTTACCCCATGGACATTTGATCAAGAATGGACAGGATCAGCTAGGTTTCTAGAGGTTGATCAGAAAATGCATTGGAACATACCATGGGATAAAGTGGTCGGGACCCTATATTCGTAGGTAAATTCCTATTTTCATGGTCAGTCAAAAAGTGATAAAATCAAGGAAAAAGGATCTGAGATGAAGCTGGAAATAACAGAAATTGAAGCTGAAATCATGGAACGAAAATTAACAGAGGCCAACAGAGAAAACAAAGGAAAATCTGATATAATGCAGGAAGAAAATAAAAGGATAGAAACCGGGATAGAACTTGCTAAATAAAGCAGGGAAGAAGAAGAACTATTTCATTCATTCTTGCTTAAGAATTACATTGCAATCTATTCTATTTATAGAAGAAATAGCTAACAAACTATCTAACAAACTAACAATATAACAAACATAAGAAGGAACTAGAATATGCTAGAATCTGAAGCTGGAAGAAGGAGCTGAACACGTGAAGAAGAGCTGAGCTGGTGCTCTGCACGTGTATTGCTGGTGGACAAGTGATCTGTTAACTGGAGAGGCGGTTTGCTGGTGAAGATGATCTGCTGTGCTGCAATTCCATGATGATCTTCATGTGCAGGAGGTAAGCTGGTCTTGCTGTTTTGGTGAGCTGAGTTTAATATTCCAACAAAAAGTGTCTACCTACAAAATATTTCATTTTAAAAACGTTCTTCCTTAATTGTCTAATTCACTTTGCTAGAAAGGGCCTTGTTTTTCTTTCCTCCTCTTCCTCACCCCTACCCTGGTCTCCTGGTATCTACTTGAAAGAAGCTTTTGAGTGTAAGGAAGATTAACATTGGAGGCAGCAAGAAGAGGGGAAAAGAGGAAGGGGTGAGAGGAGGGAAGCCAGGCCACAAAAGTGAGGGGCAAATGGAGATAGGAGGTGGGGAAGACACAAGTAGGGGGGTTGGGTTCACGTGGGGACTTCGAGGATAAGGAAGATGAGTTGGGTGATGTAGACGAGAATAATTTGGATTATCAAATTAAAAGATGCTTATTGCATGAAATTAGAAAATGGGGCCTTTTTTCCATCTCCATCTCATCCTTCTAGACAATTTCCTCTTTGTCTATCTTAACTAATTATCTATTTAAATTTTCCCAAGTTGTACTTCCCAACCAATGTCAAGCGGCAATAAATCTAGAGGTTGAATTGCGCTCCATCTGCAATATGTTGCATATCTGTCAGCCTAAAGAGGCAGTTTTGAATTGCAGATTTGGTAAAGACACAAAAAATATTAAAATGTTCATGTTTACAAATTGTGCTGGGTTGACCAATCTTTTCTCACAATTACAGACTTCGAATGCTGTCAATGTTTGACAGTGTTGTAAAAGCTTTCAATGCTGTCAATGTTTGGTCATTCTATTACGGTAATTAGTGGTTTCATATGTTATCAATAGGATTTCTATGTTTTGTCCATTCCTGGAAACTCTATATGTTCCGCATTCCCTTCAATGATTGATATAGAGAATTTCACACACTATCTACTCATTAAGATTCAAGAAAAATCAATCCACAATCATAAAGATGGCTTATTTTCCACAATCAACGGCGATTGATTATTACATTATTTAACCTGACATTCCCATGAAACAAAATAAGATCTAATGGGGACAAAATTTAAGATATATTTTTTTATCTAACCAGAGCAAGTCCTGAAGACAAGATAATAGCACTGCGCACAATTATTGTGCTTAAAAATTGATTTTTCACTGAAATCTAGTACTGTATGGAAGGATTATGCAACACCACCAATAATTTTAGTAACAAGAGTTTGAAAGACTGGACTATAATGATTTTCTGTATGTTACTCCATCTAGTTCCCATGTGAGGGAAAAAAATTGCCTTCTCTGCCATGTAAGTGGATTAGTGTTTTCTAATCTTAATATATAGACTACCTGCATGTCTGAGGTCCAAAGTGTGAGATTGTCCCTCAGAAGCTGCATGATAAGAGTCCTATCCTTGTAGGATTCCTCACCCAAAGTGTCCAGTTCAGCAATAGCTTCTTCAAATGCCTGCATACAAAAAGAAGAAAATATAAAAAACAACACACATATCAGGATTCAAGTATCAAATGAGCCTCCTGTAATAGTGCATGCATGATGTGCAAATAATGACCTCAATTACAGTATCCCCTGATCAAGGCATAGGTCTAGAACATAGAGGAGAAGCATGGCTGTATATGGTCAAAGATATTAAAGTTAGTTGTTTCAGAGGCAGTTGATACATTTTACAAACCATTCAAGCTAGTTGATCCACCATAGATGAAGTCATATGGGAAATATCCCCAATCCTTTATCTCGAAACTCAACTCCTTTAATGTTAGATAATCACTCCAATTCTCTTATTAGTCAAGGCATTTTGTGCACTTGATTTCATTCAAACAGAAAAAGGAAACTTCATTTAAAAGAAAAAGAAAATTCGATTCATTATTTTATTAGACTATCAAAGTAACTACACCTAATTCAAGTGTATGGTAAATCAGAGGACATAGTTTCTTAAAACTATTTCTGTTCACCTTCGCACCTTCTTGTGTATGGGCTTCTCTTTGCAGTTGTGCAGATTACTAGACAATTAAGGTAATGAACTATAGAAATCCATTGTAGGTACAAGTGAAAACTAACTTGTTTGGCCATGCTTCAAGCCTTCTCTGATGCATTTAGGATTTCATAGTAGAAAATAGAAAAGTTAAGGGCTAAACCCAATAGTATAGGATGCGTGGGGGCAAGATCAGCAAGTGCGATGTCCTGTTTAACAGAGGAATACACGAATAAATTGTTGATAATTTAGGAATTATGATTTCAATGAAGAAAACACGTACGATGACTTTAAATCATTAAACAAATTCAGCCACTAAACAACAAAACATTGCAGCATTTGAATACAGAATTATGAATCCCATTCGCAGAAAAGAGAAAATGAAAAGTGATGCTAGGGAAGCATAAAGAAAGATGGACACTTGATCAACTCTTGATTGATTTTGCAGAATACTAAGTAAGAGAAGCCGGACAAAAAGGTGGAACTCTCCAAATTTTTATAATAGATTTTATAATGTTTCCAAAAGTTGCTCATATACTCCGTAAACATTGATTTAAATAGGAGAAAAATAAAACATGCTACAAGAAGTCTTTAATTGAAGCAATCAACAAAAACAAGCAGAATAAATCAAGCCAAACAAATTGGATAAGCATAATCCTCTCCGTGTTGGAGAAGATTTGTCATCTCTCACCCGACATCTCGTAAGGGCAATTTACTCAGTAAGTCAATGCAGAAAATGTTAAGGTGGAATGTCACAAACACCATGGTTTGGCTAGAATTGCCTACGCAAGTAAAACAAATACCATCCATTTTCTTCCTTCCAATAATGCTCACTATCGGCTAAGAAGCATAGGACACACCAAAACCTTTAGAATACCAAAACTTGGTGTTGACGTATGGTTGACTTCTCATTTTGATTATCACAAACAAATTACATTTTACTCTAACAAATTGTATTCAAGTATTTTTAGAGTGATCATTGCAATATCATTGAAGACGCCAAAGATCAAAGATCACGAAAGTTACAATTCGACAAATCAACATGGAAACAAGCTTGACAAACGAAAGGACGTAAAGACGAAGGTTGAATGTCAAATATCGAGATGTTAAACGTAGATACCTTGAATATGTGTAAAGGTAAAATACTTCAATATTTGGCAATTGATCATTAAAAGCTCAAAGCAAATTTTTATGCACAAACCATTTTTCAAAGATACAATTGATTGCATAAAAATTATTTTTACTCGATGTATAAATTTTTACTTTGTTACTTACCTTGAAAATATTAAATGAGGCAATCCTTCAAAAGCCTACATTGATCAAATTGTCACGAAGGAGACAGTCTGAGGGCAAATTATGCCCAACTGGACGTCCGGACCATTGTCTGGACGTCCGGATGGGCAACGGTCACTTTTTTGACCATTGCAAACTCAAACGGTTAGTTCTATCCGGACGTCCGGATGCCTTGTCCGGATGAACAGATTTGAGTGTTATAAATACCTCATTCACTATTTACTTGAAAGAACCTTTTTTAAGCATTAAAATGAAGTTTTTATTGATCTCAACAACCTTATTTTCTATCCTTAGAAGACCAAAAATATCAAATTCTTGAAAAACTTTTGAGCGATTAAACTTTGTGAAAATTCTTATTTCATTAAAAGTTTTTCAACATAAACACTTTGAGCTATACTATTTCCCATCTATTGAAGTGTTTGTCTATTCTCTTCTTGTACTCATCTTTGGATCTATTATTAGATAAGAAGAGAAGATCTTACTTGTAAAAATCTTTTGAAACGATGGTCATATTGAGGTCTCGTAAATCTCAATAGTTTGGGTCGTGTTGAGATCCTGTAAAGCCCAGCATTGAATAGGATCGGTGCTCCTTGCTTATAAGTCACCGAAAGTGTTGTAAAGGGTTGGACTGCACTATAAGTCAATCAATATAGTGAAAAAGGCCTTACTCATGTCGAAGAAATTGGTAAAGAGGGACGTAGATTATTGCATTGCTAGAGGATTGGAGTAATTAAGGGAATTTAGCACATGGACACGAATGGGCAACCAAGGCCAGCTTAAAAGCATTCTTCTTCTGAGCTTGCCCATGCATGAATTCGGCTGGCAGATTTTTTTGGTTTTTTTTTTTTTTTTTGTTAATTTCGTTTTTGCTTAGGGACATTTTGGGGAATCTCTTGGGCATGGTTTTGAGGGTTTTTAAAGATTGAAAACTCAGCCCATTCATTATTCATTCATTCCATAGCATTTTGGAATATACTATTTATATATGAAAACGATACATAGTTCCTATTTTTAAAGTTCACATTTCATAAATAACAAACTTCTTAAAATATTTCAAAAATCAGGTGCTAAATAATACATAATTTTTCGGCTCCTAGAATTGATCAACAAAATGGTGTAGTAGAAAAGAAGAATTGTACATTGCAAGAAATGACTAGGACCATGCTAAATGAGAAAAATTTACCTAAGTATTTTTTGGCCGAGGCCGTTAACACCGCATGTTATATAATAAATAGAGTTTTGGTAAGTCATAAGAAAACTAAAACTCCTTACAAGTTTTGGAAAAATAGAATTCCCAACATTAGCTATTTCAAAGTTTTCGGTTGCAAATGCTTCATTTTAAACACAAATGATAATTTGAACTAAAATTTTTAAGCACTTTGATGTTCCGCTTGAGGGTGAGACATGTGTCATATTATGCCCTACTCACACCATCAACATCAAAACCCTTAAACAGATGAAAATAGTAAAGGATCACGGGCAATGGGTGGCACACACGAAGGGATTTGACTTTTCCTCTGGTCCCTCGACTCTAGCTTTCGAGGACGAAATCGAAGACGACCAAAAAGATACACCTGACGCTCCTATTCCTCCGTCTGATATTCATGTCTCCAGTGCACCTCATTCCTCTCTAGGCCGCTCTACATTCATAGAAGAACTATACAATCTCCTTAACGGGCGCATTGATTCTCTCACCTCCTCCATTGATATTCTTGGTAGCCTACTATTTCAGATTCAAGCTCAACAAATTGCCCTCCAGGATTGACAGGCCGAGATACTAGCACAACAGAATGCTTTCTTAGTCGACTTTTATGCTCGCTTCCCGCCAACGTCACCTCCCGTACCTTAGTTTATTTGCTATTTTCTACATATCGCTTTGTTTTTATCTTACCTTATGTTTATGGACTTCTCTAGTTAAACTCATTGCTATATTTTGAATTAATCTCCTAATTTTAAGTCGATCATTTGATTGTTATTTCTTTTTGGTCATGTCAAAAGGGGGAAGATAAATGTGGATACTTATGCTGATAAAGGGAAAGTAAAACAAGGAAATATATAAATTGTTATATGCATGTTGATAGGGGGAACATATGCTAAAATTTCATGTCAATTTGTTTAACCTCTATATTGCAAATTATCGTATTTGTCCTAATCAAAAAGGGGGAAATTATTGACCTATGTTGACTTCTCGTTTTGATTATCACAAACAAATTACATTTATCTCTAACAAATTGTATTCGAGTGTTTTAGTAAGATAGAAGACATAAAGATCAAGATCACGAGAGGTGCTATTTGACAATCAACATGGAAACAAGCTTGACAAACAAATGAATGTAAAGACGAAAGTCAAGAGCTCACGGAGAAATAGTCGAATGTCAAATATCGAGATATTAAACGTAGATACCTTGAATATGTGTAAAGGTCAAAAACTTCAATATTTGGCAATTAATTATTAAAAGCTCAAAGCAAATTTTTATGCACAAACCATTTTTCAAAGATACAAATTGATTGCATAAAAATTATTTTTACTCGATGTATAAATTTTTACTTAGTCACTTACCTTGAAAATATTAAATGAGGTAGTCCTTCAAAAGTCTACATTGATCAAATTGTTACGAAGGAGACCGTCTGGGGGCAAATTATGCCCAACTTGTCCGGAAGTCCGGATCATCATCTGGACATCCTGATGTGCAACGGCCACGTGCTCCAACGATTTGTTCAAGTGTGTATGAAAAAAGGCTATGTGGATGTAAGAGAAACCGAGATCAATTGTTCACATCATCTGTACGAGAATCGAGGTCCACAAAACCCAAATTGCCCAAGTCTTTAAATCTCAAAATTTGAAACTTACCACAGATTTTACTTCCGACCCTCCCAAGGGAACATCTAAGAAATAAACTAAATACCACACCACAATACATACAATAAAGTCTTAATAATTAAAAACAGATATAAATAGTAAGTCAATGACATATGTCAATACCAGTGTTCTAAAAGGCCTAGACACGATGCGCAGCGAAAACACCAAGCCACTTATTTAGCCGTCAATGATTTCGTTGACCACTAATGTGCGCCTAAGCACGATTAAGCTCGCCTAGGTGTGCATTAATATTTATTTTTTTCAAATTTTTTTACAATTTTTTTAACTTAAAACTTAAAAGTTGATTTCCAAACTTATCTTTTTTTCTTCTGGAAACTTTTGAAAAAATGAATAAAGTTTCTATAAATCTGTTTTAGAAATTAGATATGCATTATTTTTAATTATTAAATGATTCTTTAATTGATTAAAAATTAAAATAAGAAAACATAATTTTTCGCCTAAGTTCATAGCTTGACTTACACGCATAGCCACGCGTTATACCTTTTAGAGCACTGGTTATACATTCAAGCATAATTCCAGTCTTCCCTAAATAATTTACTTTCTTTCAGCCACAAAAAAAAAAGTTCCAAAAAAATGAAATCGCATCATGCCAATAATAGAAAGAAAAACTTACTGAGTATAAAAATATTTGATTCACCTGAGCAGTCTTGTAAGCAAGCACAGTATCCTCACCAACCTCCTTGCTTTCGTTCCCAGCCTTAAACTCAGCCAAATACCTATAATAATCCCCCTTCATCTTCAAGTAAAAAACCTTGGATTCGCTCGAAGCAACAGATGGGATCAAGTATTCATTCAGAATCTTCAAAATTCCACACAAACATCGAACAGCTCGGTCTCGATGTTAGATCGATAGTCTTTGACAAGCACAATGTGGTCGTCGTTCTTGCGCCCCTCCTCTTTCTGTTCAATTGACGAGACTGTGTGCCGGTAGCTGGGAGCGAGCCGATGACTTTCTTGTAAGCCACCAAGAGGAGGTTGCGCTCCTCTACAGTGAGCTCGGAACCGGCAGCGCCGACGACGAGTTTTTCCATGAACTGGACCATCTCCTCATAGCGCTTGGCTTACTCGACTAGCTTGGCCATGTACAGGTACTGTTCCCGGGTAAAAGCCATCGGAAAAACCTGTGACGAGATAATTATGAAAATACATGATTTTTGAGGTTTGCGGGAGGTACATGTCAACTATACGAGGTATGCGAACAAACAAATGAGTTGTTGTTGAGAAACTGAAAACCAGCAGAAGTGCACGTGAAATCAGCAGACGAAGAAAATGAAATGAAACTAAAATCTGAAAATGATAGAGCCTGCTGTAGCAGGGAAGAAGATGAAATTAGATTCAATCAACTTGAGAATTACAATGCATACAAGAGATCTATTTATAGAGAAAATGCTAACAATCTAACAAACTAAGAAGAGTCTAGAATGCTGGACGTGAGAGGCTAACTGAAGAAGAATCTGGAAGTAGAGCTGTGCAGGCAATGTGAGCTGATGAGATGCTGGAAACGTGAACCGAAGAAGGCTGATGTACGTGTGATCTGTTTTGCTGAGTTGTATATTCCAACACACCCCCTTCAAGATGGAACATCTTGAATTTGAAGAAGAGGATGGAAATAAAGAAATCTGAAGCTGCTGAAGGTGCTGCTGAAGTGTTAAATCTGAAGTTGCTGCTGATTTGTTGAATTTAGTGAGCACCATTGCTCTGAAACTGGGCTGAATAAAAAGAGGTGCAGAAACCAGAATTTTGCCATAATAATTGTAGGAGTTCGAACGACATAAAAACATCATCAATGGCGGAATAACACATTGATGGAAATTACTAATGACATCCTCCGTTCTTGCTGCACTTGCAGAAATCGAAACCGGAGGCTCAGTGATTAAAAGTTCAGGAGCAGCTGGAATGGACATCCGCTGCTGAAACTGAGTGAAAAACATATCTGAACGAAGTTCCCCCAATGGCAGACATACCGGCTGATCATATCATCTATAGAGCAGAAGGATAATGGTTGGAGTCCTGTAATTTTTCTTCCTAGTATCAATACTACTCTTATGGCAGATGATGTTCCTCCTGTTTGGCCATTCATACGACTGTGCCTCAGAAAACTGATAAAAATGATCCAAGGAACAAGAGCTAAGAACCGTAGTTCTGCATAGTTTTGGAGAAGTAGGCAACAGAGAAGAAAATGCAGACGGAAGGAGCATTTTGACAAGCACATGGAGGACGAGAATGAAAGTGACA